CACTGCCCACAAACTGAGGTGGAAACTGAGCTCCACTTCCTAACCTCCTGCCAAATGTATGACCATATTAGAAACACATATTTCCCTCAGATTACACAGATCCACAGATCCAGTGTAATGTTTACTGTTAATTTTTGTTGATTTCACTTTTGTTTATTATCTACTTCACTTGCACAATGTTAACATATGTTTCCCATGCCAATAAAGCCCTTAAATTGAAATTCAATTGAGAGACACAGAGAGACAGAGAGAGAGAGCAAAGAGAGAGAGAGAGAGAGAGAGAGAGAGAGAGAGAGAGAGAGAGAGAGAGAGAGAGAGGAGATATATATATATATAGAGAGAGAGAGAGAGAGAGAGAGAGACAGAGAGAGAGAGCAACGAGAGAGAGCGAGAGAAGAGAGACAGAGAGGTAGAGAGAGAGAGAGACAGAGAGAGAGCAAAGAGAGAGAGAAGAGACAGAGAGAGAGAGCAAAGAGAGAGACAGAGAGTGAGACAGAGAGAGAGAAGAGAGAGAGAGACAGAGAGAGAGAGCAAAGAGAGAGAGAGAGACAGAGAGAGACAGAGAGAGAGAAGACAGAGAAGTACAGAGAGAGAAGATCAGAAGATGAGAGAAGATGTCATAAGATGAGGGACAGTATCTGACAGACCAACCAACCTGCACATGTCCTCTATACCATTGTTATTGTTATTGTTCAATGTATGTTTTTTTTTACCCTTGGTTATTGTTGTTACTATTGATTATTATTATTTTAATTATGTTAATATTGTAAATCTCCAAAGTAAGCTTTGGCAATACGTACACTGTTACGTCATGCCAATAAAGCAAATTGACAGAAAGAGAGTGAGAGTGTCATGTGTAGAGGGAATTCCCATTGGATGGCAACAAGGGCAGAAGGTACCAGAGAGAACACAACACAACACAGGCTTTCCTCCTATAGTGGAATATAGTGCAGCAGAGGCAGAGGCAGAGGCAGCAATGTGCCATTATTAAACTCCCTGTCTTAGCAACCTTTTTATAGCAGCCTCCCAATCCTATTAGCTCTATCCATTCCTGTCCTACACAAGCACCTCTTCCCCACGGGCCCCACTCCTGGGGACCCACACACACACACTTACACACAGGAAAACCACACACGCACAAACACAGGCAAGCTCCCGGGGACCCACACACACAGAAGGGTTTAATAGCGGGAACCAGGTTACCGAGATTTACCACCCAAACTCCTGTTTCCCGAGATAAATAACTGCGAGAAACCAGTAAACTATAATACATTATTTACATTAACAGCATGAAGTGAAATGGAACTGTTACATGATATGCAATGTCTAATATTTCCTTCTCTACTGCCTTCTCTGCTCTGCTATCTGTATGATCAATCATGAACGCTCAGATGTGTGTTGTAGCCTATCATACAGTGGGGGAAAAAAGTATTTAGTCAGCCACCAATTGTGCAAGTTCTCCCACTTAAAAAGATGAGAGAGGCCTGTAATTTTCATCATAGGTACACGTCAACTATGACAGACAAATTGAGAAAAAAAAATCCAGAAAATCCCATTGTAGGATTTTTAATGAATTTATTTGCAAATTATGGTGGAAAATAAGTATTTGGTCACCTACAAACAAGCAAGATTTCTGGCTCTCACAGACCTGTAACTTCTTCTTTAAGAGGCTCCTCTGTCCTCCACTTGTTACCTGTATTAATGGCACCTGTTTGAACTTGTTATCAGTATAAAAGACACCTGTTCACAACCTCAAACAGTCACACTCCAAACTCCACTATGGCGAAGACCAAAGAGCTGTCAAAGGACACCAGAAACAAAATTGTAGACCTGCACCAGGCTGGGAAGACTGAATCTGCAATAGGTAAGCAGCTTGGTTTGAAGAAATCAACTGTGGGAGCAATTATTAGGAAATGGAAGACATACAAGACCACTGATAATCTCCCTCGATCTGGGGCTCCACGCAAGATCTTACCCCGTGGGTCAAAATGATCACAAGAACGGTGAGCAAAAATCCCAGAACCACACGGGGGGACCTAGTGAATGACCTGCAGAGAGCTGGGACCAAAGTAACAAAGCCTACCATCAGTAACACACTACGCCGCCAGGGACTCAAATCCTGCAGTGCAAGACGTGTCCCCCTGCTTAAGCCAGTACATGTCCAGGCCCGTCTGAAGTTTGCTAGAGTGCATTTGGATGATCCAGAAGAGGATTGGGAGAATGTCATATGAAACCAAAATATAACTTTTTGGTAAAAACTCAACTCGTCGTGTTTGGAGGACAAAGAATGCTGAGTTGCATCCAAAGAACACCATACCTACTGTGAAGCATGGGGGTGGAAACATCATGCTTTGGGGCTGTTTTTCTGCAAAGGGACCAGGACGACTGATCCATGTAAAGGAAAGAATGAATGGGGCCATGTATCGTGAGATTTTGAGTGAAAACCTCCTTCCATCAGCAAGGGCATTGAAGATGAAACATGGCTGGGTCTTTCAGCATGACAATGATCCCAAACACACCGCCCGGGCAACGAAGGAGTGGCTTCGTACGAAGCATTTCAAGGTCCTGGAGTGGCCTAGCCAGTCTCCAGATCTCAACCCCATAGAAAATCTTTGGAGGGAGTTGAAAGTCTGTGTTGCCCAGCGACAGCCCCAAAACATCACTGCTCTAGAGGAGATCTGCATGGAGGAATGGGCCAAAATACCAGCAACAGTGTGTGAAAACCTTGTGAAGACTTACAGAAAACGTTTGACCTGTGTCATTGCCAACAAAGGGTATATAACAAAGTATTGAGAAACTTTTGTTATTGACCAAATACTTATTTTCCACCATAATTTGCAAATAAATTCATAAAAAATCCTACAATGTGATTTTCTGGATTTTTTTTCCTCATTTTGTCTGTCATAGTTGACGTGGTACCTATGATGAAAATTACAGGCCTCTCTCATCTTTTTAAGTGGGAGAACTTGCACAATTGGTGGCTGACTAAATACTTTTTTTCCCCACTGTATCTAGGCCTACTTACACAAAGTCACGCCATAAATATATTTTTTAATATTTAGTTTATACATTTTTTTTTATATACTTTTTTTTACACTCCAGATCAAACGTATACAAACGAACAACAACTTGCGCAATAAATTCAAAGCGCATGCATTGTTTATGCTAAAACTGTACACACCCCCTTGAATTAAATGCAGTTATTAGGCCTACGGTAACAAAATTGGCTCCAACAGAGTTTCACTAAAACTAATGCCACCGAGTCAGAATGCTAAATCTGCAAGCGCAGAATAAAATGTGCAGGCGGTTCGACAAGTAGATTGATCCGACATGCCCAAGTAACACTTGCGACGCTGGATGACATTCTAGCAGAAATGGCAGCAAGCGACGAACTCTCCTGCCATACCATTGCAAACAGCATCGTGCTACAGATGTCTGCCAGACTGTTCCACCATGTGTGGCAGTCCAATTTCATCTTGAGCTCTTTCCCGAACTCTTCCTTCATGTACCCTATCTACCCTTGTAGCTTGTCATCATTGACCCCTGACTTACTTGCGAAAGATATTGTCACCATAGTCTATTTGTAAAGACAGGGAAATCAGTTCAGAGCCGTACTGCCTGCAACTCACTGCCTGTTTTATTAATGTAATACATTTCCATTCATTGCAGCCCAGCCACCACCCCTTCTGTCCCTTCCTGCCTGGCAAACACACACACACCAGTCTCCAGGCCCTGGCTGCACTTCTCCCCTCCGGGAGCATTTGAACCAAACACCAGATTTACAGCTGAAAGAAGGAGAGAATGGAGAGACGGAGAAGAAGATAAACAGATAGGGTCATTATTCACATCTGCCGTGACACTATGGCAACAGTGTGCTCTGTCTCTGATTGGTCGTAGATAAGGCTGCCTGGCTGGCCATCACTTCTACTCCTGGGAGACTGAGCCGGCAGTAAAGTGTGCCCAGTGTGCCTGTGTTTGTGCTTCGACCAGTACAAAAAAATATGAAAATGCACTCACTACTGGATAAGTGCGTCTGCTTAATGACAAAATGTAAAGTGTGTGTGAGTGTGTGTGTGACACGTGGAAGATTATGGGCTCTTTTAGACCTATCATACTGGACTAGCCTCAATGAGCCTGTGGCTAACTTTCAGTTAACGTTCCATACACGCACGCACGCACACACACACACACACACACACACACAAGGTATACACAAACAGAGAAACAAACACAGGCACAGACATGTTCCAAACATGCTCTGGAGAGATGGATTTTCTGCAGTGATACTACAGTAAACCCCAGGTTAAAGCACTGCTGTTGTTGGGTAACATCAAGGTCAGATAACAGTAACCTTGGGACCTATCATGGGTATTATCATTGGAATTCATTTGAATTTGAATACAATTGGAATCATTTTGAATAATGCTACCACTACGTAGTCTTGTTTGTTCTAAAATATACACTCTCAGCGTTTGTATTCAACCTTTTAGATAGAGAGAATTAAACAGTTATGAAATGTATAATGCCAAAAGGAATTTGGAAGTAGGACTTTTCTGCGTTCAGGCTTCCTTATGCTCTCAAAGATATTTCCATCCATTGTTTGACCTTTTTGTATTTTGTGTTTTGGTTGAAATGTCAGATTGTTGTTGCCATTCTGCTGGCTAAGCATTATCTCTCACTCTAACGCTCATTCATAGCGAGGAGGCAATTGTAGTCAGATAAGTGGGTCATGAATTAGTAACTGTTCCAAGTCAGTCCCCCTGCATTAGGCTGAGGTCCTAACCAAACTCACACAAAAAGTTGTGTAATCTTTTTTATTGTGGGGTGGTTGATTGGAACCAGGAACCTTGTCATCAAGACTGTATGCATTTTTATAATGCATTCTGAGTTTTTCTCTAATACTACTGTTCTCAATTTGTCCTCAATAAATTGGACGCAGATAATGTCTCTTTGTCGTAGATCGTCCTCAATGATTCTCTCTCTCTCTCTCTCTCTCTCAGATCCTAGCCATCATCTCCATCCTGTTCATCGTCCTTTCCACCATCGCCCTGTCCCTCAACACCCTGCCTGAGCTGCAGGACACAGACGAGCTTGGCCACGCCTCAGACAACCCCCAGCTGGCCCACGTAGAGGCCATCTGCATCGCATGGTTCACTATGGAGTACCTCCTCCGCTTCCTCTCATCCCCCACCAAATGGAAGTTCATCAAAGGTGAACACTTCTGTTTCTAATATACACTGCTCAAAAAAATTAAGGGAACACTTAAACAACACAATGTAACTCCAAGTCAATCAAACTTCTGTGAAATCAAACTCTCCACTTAGGAAGCAACACTGATTGACAATAAATTTCACATGCTGTTGTGCAAATGGAATAGACAACAGGTGGAAATTATAGGCAATTAGCAAGACACCCCCAATAAAGGACTGGTTTTGCAGGTGGTGACCACAGACCACTTCTCAGTTCCTATGCTTCCTGGCTGATATTTTGGTCACTTTTGAATGCTGGCGGTGCTTTCACTCTAGTGGTAGCATGAGACGGAGTCTACAACCCACACAAGTGGCTCAGGTAGTGCAGCTCATCCAGGATGGCACATCAATGCGAGCTGTGGCAAGAAGGTTTGCTGTGTCTGTCAGCGTAGTGTCCAGAGCATGGAGGCGCTACCAGGAGACAGGCCAGTACATCAGGAGACGTGGAGAAGGCCGTAGGAGGGCAACAACCCAGCAGCAGGACTGCTACCTCTGCCTTTGTGCAAGGAGGAGCAGGAGGAGCACTGCCAGAGCCCTGCAAAATGACCTCCTGCAGGCCACAAATGTGCATGTGTCTGCTCAAACGGTCAGAAACAGACTCCATGAGGGTGGTATGAGGGCCCGACGTCCACAGGTGGGGGTTGTGCTTACAGCCCAACACCGTGCAGGATGTTTGGCATTTGCCAGAGAACACCAAGATTGGCAAATTCGCCACTGGCGCCCTGTGCTCTTCACAGATGAAAGCAGGTTCACACTGAGCACATGTGACAGACGTGACAGAGTCTGGAGACACCGTGGAGAACATTCTGCTGCCTGCAACATCCTCCAGCATGACCGGTTTGGCGGTGGGTCAGTCATGGTGTGGGGTGGCATTTCTTTGGGGGGCCGCACAGCCCTCCATGTGCTCGCCAGAGGTAGCCTGACTGCCATTAGGTACCGAGATGAGATCCTCAGACCCCTTGTGAGACCATATGCTGGTGCGGTTGGCCCTGGGTTCCTCCTAATGCAAGACAATGCTAGACCTCATGTGGCTGGAGTGTGTCAGCAGTTCCTGCAAGAGGAAGGCATTGATGCTATGGACTGGCCGCCCGTTCCCCAGACCTGAATCCAATTGAGCACATCTGGGACATCATGTCTCGCTCCATCCACCAACGCCACGTTGCACCACAGACTGTCCAGGAGTTGGCGGATGCTTTAGTCCAGGTCTGGGAGGAGATCCCTCAGGAGACCATCCGCCACCTCATCAGGAGCATGCCCAGGCGTTGTAGGGAGGTCATACAGGCACGTGGAGGCCACACACACTACTGAGCCTCATTTTGACTTGTTTTAAGGACATTACATTTTTAAAAAAAAATTTTTTTGTCATTTTAGCAGACGCTCTTATCCAGAGCGACTTACAGTTAGTGAATGCATACATTATTTAATTTTTTCCAACCCCCTGTGGGAATCGAACCCACAACCCTGGCGTTGCAAACGCCATGCTCTACCAACTGAGCTACATCCCTGCCGGCCATTCCCTCCCCTACCCTGGACGACGCTGGGCCAATTGTGCGCCGCCCCATGGGTCTCCCGGTCACGGCCAGCTACGACAGAGCCTGGATTACATCAAAGTTGGATCAGCCTGTAGTGTGGTTTTCCACTTTAATTTTGAGGGTGACTCCAAATCCAGACCTCCATGGGTTGATCAATTTGATTTCCATTGATAATTTTTGTGTGATTTTGTTGTCAGCACATTCAACTATGTAAAGAAAAAAGTATTTAATAAGATTATTTCATTCATTCAGATCTAGGATGTGTTATTTTAGTGTTCCCTTATTTTTTTGAGCAGTGTACATTTAAGATGTGCTACCTTTAGTGTCTGTCTGTGTGTCCACTGTTGTGTATTTATTGGTGTTTTATGTTTTAGCTGTTGCAAACAACTTTCCCTGAGGATGAATAAAGTACTGTCTTATCTTATCTTTAAGGTCCCCTGAACGTGATCGACCTGCTGGCCATCCTTCCTTATTACATCACAATCTTTCTGACCGAGTCCAACAAAAGTGTTCTACAGTTCCAGAACGTCCGGAGGGTGGTTCAGATCTTCCGGATCATGCGTATCCTGAGAATTCTGAAGCTTGCGCGTCACTCCACAGGGCTACAGTCTCTAGGTTTCACCCTGAAGAGGAGTTACAACGAGCTGGGTCTACTCATACTCTTCCTGGCCATGGGCATCATGATCTTCTCCAGCCTCGTCTTCTTTGCCGAGAAGGACGAGGATGACACCAAGTTCAAAAGCATCCCTGCCTCCTTCTGGTGGGCCACCATTACTATGACCACGGTTGGTTACGGGGACATTTACCCTAAGACTTTGCTTGGGAAGATTGTGGGGGGTCTGTGTTGCATTGCAGGGGTGTTGGTGATAGCCCTGCCCATCCCCATCATCGTCAACAACTTCTCAGAGTTCTACAAGGAGCAGAAGCGTCAGGAGAAAGCTGTGAAGCGGCGTGAGGCGCTGGAGAGGGCGAAACGCAATGGGAGCATTGTCTCCATGAACATGAAGGAGGCGTTTGCCCGCAGCGCCCAGCTGATGAACGTGGTGGTGGAGAAGAGCGAGAGGCTGCTGACGCAAGACAACCACCTCTCGCCCAGCCACTGGAAGTGGACACCCAAGCGGGCTGCCTCCGCCTCCGAGACCAGCTCGGCCCACTCCTTCAACCCCGTGGAGTCCCAGACGGGTTCCCCCAGTAAGGCCAGGGCCTCCAGTCCTCAGGGGCTCAACGCTCAGAAGCTGGAGGAGATGTATTACCAGATGGCCAAGACCCAGTCACAGCCCAACCTCAACGCCAAAGACAACAGCTCCAGGGCTGGCAGACAGAGGGATGAGATAGAGCTGAGGGCCATCCCTGGGGGTCCAGGGGACCCTATGCTAGGGGGTCGAGAGGGGGTGGGGGACATGAAGAGCCTGTCTAGTATTGACAGCTACATCAGCTGTGCTGCAGACTTCCAGGAGAATCCACGTGGTGTCTACCCCCACAGTCCAGTCTCCGGCCTAGCCCTCCTTGCCCAGGAGACCAGCCACTTCTCCCATATCAGCCCAGCCATGGCCCTCTCTGGGCGGGTCAGCACCAACCCTGGCCTCCAGACCACCCTGGAGCATGAGCCCATGCTCACTTCCCTTTCTGCTGCAAAAAACTCAGGCTCGGACAACACTCGCAACTTCAACAAACCTTTGAAAGATGGCAGCCACTCCTACAAGGTGAACTACCGGAGCAGTGGAGGGGAATCGGGGCCAGGACCAGGTCGGTCACCCAGCAGCGGTGATCCTCTCTCAGGCAGCTCCATCCTGTCTGACCGCTCCCTGCTCAGCCCGGAGACGTCCATCTACACCACAGCCAGCAGCAGGACCCCACCCAAGTCTCCGGACAGTTCCACCCTGACCACGGCCCTGACCTCCACCCCGTCTGTCTTCACCTTCCACGACTCCTCCATCAGTAAGTACATTGACGCCGATACGGATGATGACGAGCACCTGCGGGACATGTCTGACGCCACCAGCCCCTCGGAGTGCCTGCTGACTGGCTCCAGTGCCCCTAAACGCAGCAGGAACATCAACAGCGGCTACAACCAGAGAGGCATCAACCACCTGGCATCAAGCACCACCCAGCGAATGCTGGGGCAGAACTGCCTGTTCCCCGGCCTGGATGGGGGGACGCGGGGGAGTGGGGGCCACATGGAGAACCATGTGGTGCCGGAGCTGCCCCGCAGGCCCAAAGGGGACAGAGGAAAGTCTAGTACCATGGATGAGAGCCTCTGAGCTGCAGAGGGACATCCAGGGACATCCAGAGAGACATGGACAAGCTGCTGTGAGGAAGGCGAGAAAGAGAAAGTGATAGAGAGAGAGAGAAAGAAAGAATGAAAGAGAAGGAAAGAAAGAGAGACACTGTGCCGAGTCCCTTTACAAACTAACAGAAAGGGCCAGGAAATGAGAGAGATTCAGGGCAGAGTTTGGGCTGTGGTGTGGTGTTGAATACTCTGGGAAAAGATTGAGAACACCACTCTCCCTCCTCTCCCCCCTTCCTCCCTCCCTTTTAGCCACAGTACACTAGCTACCACAGAACTGGGCAGAGCACTCCCAGGGACCCAACTGAGCAGGGGCCCCACAGGGAGACGTGGTAGTAGGTCAAAGGTCAAAGCAGAGCATGCTGGGAAGGGAAATGGTCTGTTGGTTGGTTGGGGCTCTGGTGTAGGGGGAAAGAGGTGAGGCAGAATGGATGAGGGGGGAAACCGGGAGGCGGGGAACAGCAAGGAGAGATTAATGTTGTGAGCATAGGGATAGAAAGACAGTCATATTCTCCTACAGGTCTATCTATCTCAGCTGACCACTGTCCCATTCCACCCTGAGCCCCAGCCCAGCTCACACTGTAGTACGGATTCCAGAAGAGGAGTTATGGTAGATGCCAATAAGCTACTTACTAGTGCCCCCCTAGCCCCAAACCTGGCCTTAGTCATATGTGAGTATGTGTGTATGTGTTTGAGCTTGTGTGTGTGTATGCGTGCGTGCGTTTGAGTGAGTTTGTGTGCACATGTTTAAAGGATAATTTACTAGAGCAAGGCACTTAACCCTAATTGCTCCTGTAAGTCGCTCTGGATAAGAGCATCTGCTAAATAACTAAAATGTAAATGTAAATGTATCCACATTTTGAGATTGTCTTACCTGATTAATTTATTTTTATATAGATAAAGGAGGTTACCTATAGGAATCTGTGATTTACTAGTCTGTTGTGTCATGACCATATCTGTTTGAGTATTTCTGTATGAGATATGTATTCTTGTCAGACAGTTATTGGAGGTTCAATCCAGACTTGTTTTAGTGAAAAACCACATTCTGTCACAAGAGTCTTGTTCTTCTTGGTACAGTTTGTTTATCTTGTGGTGAGAGTAGAGTACCACATCTGATCTTCCATTTCTGTCTGTGAATGTGTCTTGATTGTCTGTTGTTTTGTGTTACACTGAGTTTTAGTCAGAGGGGAATGGTTGAAATAAACATTTTTGGTATCAAAGTCAGTAATCATAATCATCCCTGAAGATTTGTGCATCAAGCACACATTTAGGAGAGCTCTGCTCCAAGGCATTCATGTACCGAACAGGGGATGGAGCGAGAGAGACAGAGACTGAGAGATCCTACACGCAGTACAAGTCATAAATTAGTCCAGAACGCTATCTGAACAGCACATTAATTAAGAAAGGGAAGTGTTACATTTCACTTATCCTGGAAACCTGGTTACAGGTTTGGATTGAATAGCAAGTCTAGTCTTATTTGAGTGCATTTGCATTCATTCACACAGACATTCATACACTCACACAGACAGACACATTAAAAGGCCAGCCGATACACAGGTCTTATATGGTAGACATCTTCAAGATAGCTCCAGCCCAGTTTCCATAGTAACAGATTTTGTCCTGGCAAGGCTGATACCAGAGCTGCATAGCTCTGCTAATTAGGGTGGGTAGTCTGATGGTATCAAAATGCATACATTCTTATCCATTTATACAGTTTGCAAACTCTCAAACATACTGTAGTTAGTACACAGGTATGTACATAGATAAATACACCTCATGTAGCTACAGCCCCCCTGCATTGTTCTGTCATTCAGATACAGGCATAATGCAACCCTAGTTTTGAATATATGCATGATAATGCTTTCTGAATAATAGACACATCACAGTGCATAGATATCACCGAAGATGCTTATAAATACAAAGACAGACCCACAACACACGTCCATGCGTTTGTCCTTTGCTCTCTTTCTCTCACTCGCTCTGAGAAAAAGTGCAAAGGGGAGAATGCTGCATCTCCAGAGAGTCACATGTATCACTGGTGTTCCTGTCTGAGCTGGATCCGAGCGAGTGGAGCTGAGGTGTGAACGGAATAACAATGACTGTGGAAGGGGCAGAACCTCTGAAAAACTGTGTGTGTGTTGATCGTTTTTAAGAGGGAGTGCTGCTCAGCCAAGCAGAGAGCTGGTGATTAGAGCTGTGGTTACTGCTTAGTGGAGGAAGATGAGCTGCTTCCGGTGTGTGTGTGTGTGCGTGCGTGCATATGTGACGAGATAGTTCTGATTTAAAGAGGGTGTATGTCGTTTTCAGCCCTACAGACTGCTCCTGTGATCATCAACAGTGACTAGTGTTACAGTAATATCTGGGGAACACCATTTGCCTCAGAAATACTGAGCAACGCTTTTTCACTGGCTGGAGTGTTTTTCTCTGCCTGTAGAGTGCTTCAAGGCAATCTCTACCTTCACAAAACACTCTAGTTCACAGCCTATTTAATGACACTGGTTCACAGCCTATTGAATGCTTAGGCCTGAACAGTCACAGTGGTGTGCATGCGTGTGTATATGAGAGAGTGTGTGCTGGTATGGAAGTTCATTTGCACAGAAGAGATAATTAGACTTCCACTATGTTAGACAATGTTAACATGAATGATTTTAACTTTAGGGTGGACATACAGTACAATGTCACTGTTTTATGTTCATTATGTTAACAATGCATTTCAAATCCTTCTCATCATCCGCCCCGGAGGTCGAATTGGCTGTCCCCTGTAGAGTGCTGGCTTCTCGTGCACGGTTCTGGTATTGAGCATTGTCTAACACTGAGATATGTGTTGCTGTCCCCTATGTTTCACATTACCATACATCAATTTATACTCTCACTGTAAGAATATATTGTGGGAGTCAGGGACTGTTTTGTTATGGAAACTATCTCTTTAAAGAATGATGACAATCAATTCCTCATGAATAGACATGAAATACATTGTAGCATTGTGAAGAGAAGATCCAATGTAGGATGGACAGACTGGCTGGATCACATGTCATGGACAGACATACAGACACATACAGGTCAAGTATCTACTTATAGCCTTTATATATTTTTGTTTTGGTAGGAGGGATGATTCTGGACAATATTCTGACAAGGTCAAATGAGTTTACTACTATACTGTGACCACTGACTGGTATGTTTAAAAAACCATGTTCTTCTTAAAGGGCACTTTATACATCAGTCCTCTCTTCCATTTCCAGTCACCCAACATCCAAACATCCTGTAGTGTACAAGACTTTTAACTTTTACTGTGTTCCTGTACAAGAGGGTTTCTGGTGTCAAAGGATTTGTAAATGTTATGTTTTAATGAGAAAGCACAATCAAGAGACTTCTTTTATTTCTCTTATTTTTTGATAAGATATAAAAAAACATACAATTAGGAATTAGCCAAATGCCAATTAAATGTATGTTCGATTTCAGAGTTGGGGTCCATTTGAAATGCTTTGGTAAATTAGAATTCAATTAAAGAATTGATCCAATAGATGGAATTGACTCCAACCTTGCTGAATCCACCAGTCATTGTAACGTACACAATTTCCTCTTCTTCTACTGTTTGTAGGTCTCTAGGCTACTGTTTGTTTTGTAATATTTCTACCTGTTGTCTTTCCTATGCTGTATGTTGTTTCTGTATAAACGTTCTGTTGTTCTATCAATGCATGTCGTAACTTTGGAGCCGTGACTAGGTGTGAAACACATGCACAACTCCAGTTTACCGGTCCTGTAAAAAGGGTCTACATTTCCCAAGATCTTTCTTTACATTCCCCTTGGATGACTGAAAGTGAAATAAAATCTAATTCATTAATGGTTTGAGTTTTGATTACTGACATGTATTCCAGGCATTATTGAAGGCTTTCAGTGATGCAAAGAAAAATTGAACTGACAGTTACATACTCTTAGAAAAGAAACAGATCTACAATAGCATGTTTCAGAAGGAAGATTCTGTCCAACCAGAGAACAAAATTACCCAAAACAGCCACATAAACAAGACTTAATTGTTGGCAGAGGTTTCATATCAAATGTTATGGGAGACACTGGTACATTCTGGTCCATATGAATGCACACACAGCATGGTCTGTGCTGCTTTTTGATTATGCCTGATCCCTGTGCTGTCCTGTGTCTGTATGTCCATGAAGAGGAGGTAGACAGTAACCCAGGGTTATATAAAGAGGAATCTGTCCAGGTTTATATGAAGAGGAAGCTGTCCAGGGTTATATGAAAAGGAAGCTGTCCAGGGTTATATGAAGATAAATCTGTCTAGGGTTATATAAAGAGGAATATGTCTAGGGTTATATAAAGAGGAATCTGTCCAGGGTTATATGAAGAGGAAGCTGTCCAGGCTTATATGAAGAGGAAGCTGTCCAGGGTTATATGAAGAGGAAGCTGTCCAGGGTTATATGAAGGGGAAGCTGTCCGTGGTGAAGAGGAATCTGTCCAGGGTTATATGAAGAGGAAGCTGTCCAGGGTTATGTGACGGGGAAGCTGTCCAGGGTTATATAAAGAGGAAGCTGTCCAGGGTTATAGGAAGAGGAAGCTGTCCAGGGTTATATAAAGAGGAATCTGTCTAGGGTTATATAAAGAGGATTCTGTCCAAGGTGAAGAGGAATCTGTCCAGGGTTATATAAAGAGGAAGCTGTCCAGGGTGAAGAGGAAGCTGTCCAGTGTTATATGAAAAGGAAGCTGTCCAGGGTTATATGAAGGGGAAGCTGTCCAGGGTTATATGAAGGGGAAGCTGTCCAGAGTTATATGAAGAGGAAGCTGTCCAGGGTGAAGAGGAATCTGTCCAGGGTTATATAAAGAGGAAGCTGTCCAGGGTGAAGGGGAAGCTGTCCAGGGTTATATGAAGATGAAGCTGTCCAGGGTGAAGAGGAAGCTGTCCAGTGTTATATGAAAAGGAAGCTGTCCAGGGTTATATGAAGGGGACGCTGTCCAGGATTATATGAAGGGGAAGCTGTCCAGAGTTATATAAAGAGTAATCTGTCCAGGGTTATATGAAGAGGAATTTCTGTCTAGGGTTATATAAAGAGGCATCTGTCCAGGGTGAAGAGGAAACTGTCACTGTCCAGGGTGAAGAGGAAGCTGTCCAGGTTATATGAAGAGGAAGCTGTCCGAGGAAGCTGTCCAGGGTTATATGAAGAGGAAGCTGTCCAGGGTTATATGAAGAGGAAGCTGTGGACGGTGGGACAGGAGCAGGAGTCTAGTCTCCCAAAACGTCTCCACACACCACGACACCTGGGGTTTCCCACCGCCTGCCACTGCAGAGACTGCCTGCCACTGAGAGATGTGGGAGGGAGAGAGAGAGAATCAGAGACAGAGAGTTAGAGAGAGAGGGGGGGGAGTTGGAGAGAGAGAGAAACAACTGTTGTTTACTAGACAGTTTTAAGAGGCACTAGTCTAGACTAAGACTGCCACCTAGTGGCTGAAATCTGACTCTCTCCAAACAAGAAACACAATATTGGGTTAGTTTGTAAACATGACTTAAATCTTTACTACATATCTATAGCCTGTCCTCTGCTTGTGGGCCCAGCTTGTCTTACCTCTCCTCCTCCTCCCCGTCTCCAGAACAGTGTCTCTGCCCGGCAGCGAGGGCCGGAGGCTGGCACTCCACACACACCTTGTGGCCCTCCCTCAGGTAGTGCATCCAGCGGGTGTGTGGCCCCACACTACGCTGGCACCCAGGGGTCATGGAGGTCAGCTGAAACTGCACACAGTACCTGGATAACCATACACACATACACAGGCACACACACAAGCATATATAGACGTACACACATACACACATTCACAGGGGTCAGATATCATATTTCTCTGAAGATAACAGGAATACTATGAAAGGGCACAAACACATAAACTGGATCTCTCACCCTGCGACATCATCATTTTTAACAGGGATGTCTCTCTTCTTCCTGGCGTTGCCATAGCCACCGGTAGTGATGAGAGCCGGGACTGCAAAGACAACAACATCCATAATAACAACATCATGACAACAACAACAGCTTTAGCTCCCCTACACACATTATGTTTTTTTTATTTAACATTATTTAACCAGGTGGTATCATAGATGTCAGAAGACTTCACCTGGGAAGGTGACCTTTATTTGAAGACAGAGGGATATTTGACATAGACAAGAGGCCAATAAGGGCATATGTAAGGTCCTTTCCAGAGCCAGATGCAACCTAAGGCTATATATGTGGCTGTGGTCCTTACCAAGTGATTTGCTGCACTGCCGGGGGTGGTCCTTATACTCTGCACAGCCGGCATGCTCCTCTACGTGTAGACAGGGTTCCCCCCCGTTCTGGGGCTCCTGCAGGACCTGCCTGCTCCTCATCCGAACTGTGGCCCTGCAGGGCTCAGCACAGCCAGACCATGCACTCCACTCACTCACCACACAGGACACCGCTAGGAGGGAGGAAGGAGTACAGGGTGAGGGCATAGCAGGGAGGAAATGAAAGCAAATACAAGCATGACTATGGTAGTGCCCTCTACCCATGTTTGCTACTGAAAAAGGATGTAGTCATAGTGAGACAGCTAAAGTATACTGGTATACAGTAAATCTATAAGCAAGGTATATATTAATTACAAACAAATCATATATCTCACACTGAAATTAATAAACCCACTTCCAGGAGAAACTCAATTACCTTGCCCCAAACTGGGTTTTAAAATCACCATATGTATCCAGTGATTTTAAACACAGATAACAGGCTAGTGTATGGCAACTGCTGCTATGGCACCTGCTCGGCCTCCGACCACAAGGCACTACAGAGGGCAGTGCGTACGGCCCAGTACATCACTGGGGCCAAGCTTCCTGCCATCCAGGACCTCTACACCAGCCGGTGTCAGAGGAATGCCCTAAAAATTGTCAAAGACTCCAGCCACCCTAGTCATAGACTGTTCTCTCTGCTACCGCACGGCAAGCTGTACCGGAGCGCCAAGTCTAGGTCCAGAAGGCTTCTTAACAGCTTCTACCCCAAAGCCATAAAACTCCTGAACAGCTAATCAAATGGCTACCCGGACTTTTTACATTGTTCCCCCCTCTTTTACACTGCTGCTACTCTATTTATTATATATGCATAGTCACTTTAACTCTACCTACTTGTATATATTACCTCAATTACCTCGACTAACCTGTGCCCCCGCACATTGACTCTGTACTGGTACCACCACCTGTATGTAGCCTCGCTACTGTTATTTTAATTATTTGTTATTTAAAAAAATGTTTTACTTAACAGTTATTTTTCTTAAAACTGCATTGTTGGTTAAGGGCTTGTAAGTAAGCATTTCACTGTAAGGTATACACCTGTTGTATTCGGCGCATGTGACAAATACAATTTTATTTTATTGACACAATTTGGCCAACATACAGTTGAAGACTCAGTGTTTCACAAATCCTGACATTTAATTCTAGTAAAAATTCCCTGTTTTAGGTCAGTTAGGATCACCACTTTATTTTAAGAATGTGAAATGTCAGAATAATAGTAGAGAGAATTATTTCTTTCAGCTTTTATTTCTTTCATCACATTCCCAGTTGGTCAGAACTTTACATACACTCAATTAGAAAGAATGTCTGCCATATCTTGCCTTTAAATTGTTTAACTTCGGTCAAACGTTTCGGGTAGCCTTCCACAAGCTTCCCACAATAAGTTGGGTGAATGTTGGCCCATTCCTCCTGACAGAGCTGGTGTAACTGAGTCAGGTTTGTAGGCCTCCATTTTCTATAGGCTTGAGGTCAGGGCTTTGTGATGGCCACTCCAATACCTTGACTTTGTTGTCCTTAAGCCATTTTGCCACAACTTTGGAAGTATGCTTGGGGTCATTGTCCATTTGGAAGACCCATTTGCGACCAAGCTTTAACTTCCTGACTGATGTCTTGAGATGTTGCTTCAATATATCCACATAATTTTCCTTCGTCATGATGCCATCTACAGTGAGGGAAAAAAGTATTTGATCCCCTGCTGATTTTGTACGTTTGCCCACTGACAAAGAAATGATCAGTCTATCATTTTAATGGTAGGTTTATTTGAACAGTGAGAGACAGAATAACAACAAGAAAATCCAGAAAAACACATGTCAGAAATTGATTTGCATTTTAATGAGGGAAATAAGTATTTGACCCCTCTGCAAAACATGACTTAGTACTTGGTGGCAAAACCCTTGTTGGCAATCACAGAGGTCAGACGTTTCTTGTAGTTGGCCACCAGGTTTGCACACATCTCAGAAGGGATTTTATCCCACTCCTCTTTGCAGATCTTCTCCAAGTCATTAAGGTTTCGAGGCTGACGTTTGGCAACTCAAACCTTCAGCTCCCTCCACAGATTTTCTATGGGATTAAGGTCTGGAGACTGGCTAGGCCACTCCAGGACCTTAATGTGCTTCTTCTTGAGCCACTCCTTTGTTGCCTTGGCCGTGTGTTTTGGGTCATTGTCATGCTGGAATACCCATCCACGACCCATTTTCAATGCCCTGGCTGAGGGAAGGAGGTTCTCACACAAGATTTGAAAGTACATGGCCCCGTCCCTCGTCCCTTTGATGAGGTGAAGTTGTCCTGTCCCCTTAGCAGAAAAACACCCCCAAAGCATAATGTTTCCACCTCCATGTTTGACGGTGGGGACGGTGTTCTTGGGAGTCATAGGCAGCATTCCTCCTCCTCCAACACGGCGAGTTGAGTTGATGCCAAAGAGCTCAATTTTGGTCTCATCTGACCACAACACTTTCACCCAGTTCTCCTCTGAATCATTCAGATGTTCATTGGCAAACTTCAGACGGGCATGTATATGTGCTTTCTTGAGCAGGGGGACCTTGCGGGCGCTGCAGGATTTCAGTCCTTCACGGCGTAGTGTGTTACCAATTGTTTTCTTGGTGACTATGGTCCCAGCTGCCTTGAGATCATTGACATGATCCTCCCGTGTAGTTCTGGGCTGATTCCTCACCGTTCTCATGATCATTGCAACTCCACGAGGTGAGATCTTGCATGGAGCCCCAGGCCGAGGGAGATTGACAGTTATTGTGTGTTTCTTCCATTTGCGAATAATCCACCAACTGTTGTCACCTTCTCACCAAGCTGCTTGACGATGGTCTTGTAGCCCATTCCAGCCTTGTGTAGGTCTACAATCTTGTCCCTGACATCATTGGAGAGCTCTTTGGTCTTGGCCATGGTGGAGAGTTTGGAATCTGATTGATTGATTGCTTCTGTGGTCCCATGGTGTTTATACTAGCGTACTAGTGTTTGTACAGATGAACGCGGTACCTTCAAGCATTTGGAAATTGCTCCCAAGGATGAACCAGACTTGTGGAGGTCTACAATTCTTTTTCTGAGGTCTTGGCTGATTTCTTTTGATTTCCCATGATGTCAAGCAAAGAGGCACTGAGTTTGATGGTAGGCCTTGAAATACATCCACAGGTACACCTCCAATTGACTCAAATGATGTCAATTAGCCTATCAGAAGCTTCTAAAGCCATGACATCATTTTCTGGAATTTTCCAAGCTGTTTAAAGGCACAGTCAACTTAGTGTATGTAAACTTCTGACCCACTGGAATTGTGATACAGTGAATTATAAGTGAAATAATCTGTCTGTAAACAATTCTTGGAAAAATTACTTGTGTCATGCATGTGTCATGCACAAAGTAGATGTCCTAACCGACTTGCCAAAACTATAGTTTGTTAACAAGACATTTGTGGAGTGGTTGACAACTTCCAACTTCAACTGTATAATTTCTCAAACTTCTTACCTGGGCAGGCTAGTTCATAATCATGACAGCAGTCCAGGGTAAAGGTACAAGCCTGGTCGCAATAGCAGGTGCCATATGAGCGGTCAGCTCTCCATCCCTTACTGATGCACGACGGGTCGCGGCCGGTGCAGCAAAAACCCACGTCCTCACAACCTGCATCGCCCGGGGCGACCAGGAAAACCATCAGCCCAACACAATAGTAGATCCAGCAGCCGGTAACAGTATACCTGAACGGGGGCATGGCTATGGCACAGAGGAGTAGCCTACTTCTGCGCGCACCTTGCTGCTGTGCCACTTGGCAATGCGGCCAACACCTGTAAAATCCCAGAGAGCTGTTCGTTCACACGCCAAAATTGATACCAGGGGACTTCCTGATGTCATTCATCTCTGTAATTCGATTTTAGAAAATGTTGTTGACAACAAGTTTGTTCAGCCAAATATCACCTTCAATTCAAATGTCAATTGTCTTCTTGCTCAGACAAACCACCCTGGTAGGTTGTTGCTGTACCCTCTACTTAATTGCGCTGGGTCGAAGTGTCATCGGGTAATCATGCTGCAATTTCCGGCATCTTCAATGGTTTATGTCAACCTCATGTCTCTCTCACCCTCTCTCTCTCTTAAAGGGACAGTTAGTTTCTCTGACCACAGCTCCCTACAAGGAAGCTCTACCCACTGGCACAGACGTCAATTCAACATCTATTCCACGTTGGTTCAACGTAATTTCATTGAAATTACATGGAAACAACGTTGATTCAACCAGTGTGTGTCCAGTGGGTAGTCTATTAACTAAATAAAAGAAAACGGTACAGCTGTGAATCATAGGCTTCTTGTTCATATTTTTCCTTTTTATGTAAGATCCTGCAGGGCTCCTACTTACAAATAACATGGCAATTAAGCAGACTACTCTTTACTATATTGTAATAATTGCATAGTATGTGGGTGTGCATTTAATATTGTTAATATATGATTGTGGTACATGTGTGCATGCCTATGAGCAGTCTTACTTAGGCCTATATATCCATGAGATTTATATTATGCTCAGTAGCCTACAGTGACATTGACAGTATGTGTAGGAGGGGCCACATGCCCATTTTCCCTGGTTAAATTAATGGGAGACATGAATAGCTTGTTTGCTTTGCACAGCCCATCCTTTCTACACGGCGGCTTAAGCTGCCAGTTCTCCTGGCCGCTTGTTCCTCAACATGTGAAAAGAGTGGATTAATCAGATTCCTATGGCCAGGGCCATTCATGCAGAAAAAAACAATACTGTGAACAATGCGGCAGCACAGGGCTTCCACTCGGATACACATTTCCCAGCAACTGAGTACTGTGTGTGTGTGTGTTTGCGTGCGTGGCGGGGCATATTCCCAAGCATTGACCTGACTGCAGTGCCTCTCTTCACACACACAGACCTACAGTATGGCCCCATAGAGGGGCCCTGTCCTGGTGTACTCTGGGAGTTCTAAAGAACCTCTGCATTTACCGCTCTAATAAACCCCTAGTCAGCTCCAACTGTCACAGACAGTCCAAAGACACAGCCCATATTCACAGTCTAATCAAATGTTACTTTGGTAGTTCCCCCAGGTCATCAGATAAGCGTCACACATAGTAAATTCATTCAGTGATTCAAAAGTACCAGTTCATAATTGTAGTCTACCTGTTGAAAGATTTGTGTTATATATTGACTTCTCTCTGAGTGGCATATTATACGTAGCTGCAATAACTCTGCCTCCTTCACAAACTCCTTCTGTTCCTCTCTCTTTGTCTCTGTATCAAGCAGGGCGGGACAAACTCAATACACTTTAAAATTACAAACCAAATCAAAACTGTGTAGGAATGATAATGGACCTTCTTCATTCATACAGTTTTTTGACTGTGTCCAGCTTGCTAATACATAATGAAAGCTAGACAGTCAGGGAGCATAACACATTCCAGAAATGATGGATAGGGGACTTTGCAAATTTTGACGGCTAATAAACAAATTGGTGCACCCTCCGGTTCTTGTTGAAGACCGAATGCGGCCCCCGAGGCAAAATGAGTTTGACACCCCTGGTCTACATCATAAATAAAACAAGACATTACACAAGACATGCTGTACTTTACAAAAGGTACACTGCTTCACTATTACAAACTGTAAATACAAAATGTACAATATTTCAACAATACAATATTACAATGTGTGAGTGTGTGTAGTGTTTGTGTTAGAGTGTGTGTGTGTGTCTCTTCAAAGTCCACGTTGTGCTGTGAGGTGTAGTTTATCTGTTTTTTAAATCTGATTTTATTGCTAGCTTGAGTTACCTGATGTGGAAGAGAGTTTCATGTAGTCATGGCTCTACGTAGTACTGTGCATTTCCTGGAGTCTGTTCAGAACTTAGGGACTGTGAAGAGACCCCAGGTGGCATGTGTTTTGGGTATGTATGGGTGTCTGATCTGTGTGTTAGCTGTTTGAACAGACAGTTCGGTGCTTTCAACACATCAATACCTAAGACAAGTAGTGATGCAGTCAATCTCAAATCAAATCAAACGTTATTGGTCACATACACGTGTTTAGCAGATGTTATTGCAGGTGTAGCGAAATGCTTGTGCTTCTAGCTCCGACAGTGCAGTAATATCTAAGAAGTAATATCTAACAATTTCACAACATATACCCAATACACACAAATCTAAGTAAGGAATGAATTAAGAATATATACATATATGGACGAGCGATGTCAGAGAGGCATGGACTAAGATACAGTAAAATAGTATAGAATAAAGTATATACAGTGGGGAGAACAAGTATTTGATACACTGCTGATTTTGCAGGTTTTCCTACTTACAAAGCATGTAGAGGTCTGTAATTTTTATTATAGGTACACTTCAACTGTGAGAGACGGAATCTAAAACAAAAATCCAGAAAATCACATTGTATGATTTTAAAGTAATTAATTTGCATTTTATTGCATGACATAAGTATTTGATACATCAGAAAAGCAGAACTTTATATTTGGTACAGAAACCTTTGTTTGCAATTACAGAGATCATACATTTCCTGTAGGTCTTGACCAGGTTTGCACACACTGCAGCAGGGATTTTGGCCCACTCCTCCATACAGACTTTCTCCAGATCCTTCAGGCTTTGGGGCTGTCGCTGGGCAATACAGACTTTCAGCTCCCTCCAAAGATTTTCTATTGGGTTCAGGTCTGGAGACTGGCTAGGCCACTCCAGGACCTTGAGATGCTTCTTACGGAGCCACTCCTTAGTTGCCCTGGCTGTGTGTTTCGGGTCATTGTCATGCTGGAAGACCCAGCCACGACCCATCTTCAATGCTCTTAGTGAGGGAAGGAGGTTGTTGGCCAAGATCTCGCGATACATGGCCCCATCCATCCTCCCCTCAATACGGTGCAGTCGTCCTGTCCCCTTTGCAGAAAAGCATCCCCAAAGAATGATGTTTCCACCTTCATGCTTCACGGTTGGGATGGTGTTCTTGGGGTTGTACTCATCCTTCTTCTTCCTCCAAACACGGCGAGTGGAGTTTAGACCAAAAAGCTATATTTCTATCTCATCACACCACATTACCTTCTCCCATTCCTCCTCTGGATCATCCAGATGGTCATTGGCAAACTTCAGATGGGCCTGGACATGCGCTGGCTTGAGCATGGGGACCTTGTGTGTGCTGCAGGATTTTAATCCATGACGGCGTAGTGTGTTACTAATGGTTTTCTTTGAGACTGTGGTCCCAGCTCTTTTCAGGTCATTGACCAGGTCCTGCCGTGTAGTTCTGGGCTGATCCCTCACCTTCCCCATGATCATTGATGCCCCACGAGGTGAGATCTTGCATGGAGCCCCAGACCGAGGGTGATTGACCGTCATCTTGAACTTCTTCCATTTTCTAATAATTGCGCCAACAATTGTTGCCTTCTCACCAAGCTGCTTGCCTATTGTCCTATTACTGGTTGGTAGGTGATCAAATACTTATGTCATGCAATAAAATGCAAATTAATTACTTAAAAATCATACAATGTGATTTTCTGGATTTTTGTTTATGTTTCCGTCTCTCACAGTTGAAGTGTACCTATGATAAAAATGACAGACCTCTACATGCTTTGTAAGTAGGAAAACCTGCAAAATCGGCAGTGTATCAAATACTTGTTCTCCCCACTGTACATATGAGATGAGTAATGCAAGATTTGTCAACATTATTAAAGTGGCTAGTGTTCAATTTCTTAAAGTGGCCAGTGATTTCTAGTCTATGTCTAAAGGCAGCAGCCTCTAATGTGCTAGTGATGGCTGTTTAACAGTCTGATGGCCTTGAGATAGAAGCTGTTTTTCAGTCTCTCGGTCCCAGCTTTGATGCACCTGTACTGACCTCGCCTTCTGGATGATAGCGGGGTGAACAGGCAGTGGCTCGGGTGGTTGATGTCCTTGATGATCTTTTTGGCCTTCCTGTGACATCGGGTGCTGGAGGTGTCCTGGAGGGTGGGTAGTTTGCCCCCGGTAATCCGTTGTGCAGACTGCACCACCATCTGGAGAGCCTTGCGGTGCAGTTGCCGTACCAGGCGGTGATACAGCCTGACAGGATGCTCTCAATTGTGCATCTGTAAAAGTGTGTGAGGGTTTTAGGTGCCAAGCCAAATTTATTCAGCCTCCTGGGGTTGAATATGCCTTCTTCACCACACTGTCTGTGTGGGTGGTCCATTTCAGTTTGTCAGTGATGTGTACGCCAAGGAATTTGAAGCTTTCGACCTTCTCCACTGCGGTCCCGTCGATGTGGATAGGCAGGTGCACCCTCTGCTGTTTCCTGAAGTCTAAGATCATCTCCTTTGTTTTGTTGACGTTGAGTGAGATGTTATTTTCCTGGCACCACACTCCCAGAGCCCTCACGTCCTCCCTGTAGGTTCTCTCGTCATTGTTGGTAATCAAGCCTACTACGGTTGTGTCGTCTGCAAACGTGATGGTTGTGTTGGAGGTGTGCTTGGCCACGCAGTCATGGGTGAACAGGGAGTACAGGAGTGGGCTCCTCTACTTTGAACCAGGAGAGATAGATGTGTACATTTAAGGGCCAGCCATGCTGCTCTGTTCTGGTCCAACCGTAATTTGCTTATGGCCTTCTTTGCAGAATTTCAGCATATAACTGGGCAGTAGTCCAGGTGTGATAAAACTAAGGCCTGTAGGACTTGTTTGGGTGATTTAAGAAAACAGAGCATATCCCCATCTTAGCAACCATTGCATCAATATGTTTTGACCATGTCAGTTTACAATCTAGGTTTAGACCAAGCAATTTCGTCTCCTCAACTTGCTAAATTGCCACATATTTCATTACAATATTTAAATGAGGTTAAGGGTTTAGAGAGTGATTTGTCCCAAATTCAATGATTTTAGTTTTTTATATACAGTGCCTTCGGAAAGTATTCAGACCCCTTGACTTTTTCCAAATGTTGTTACGTTACAGTCTTATTCTTAAATGGATTAGATTAATGTTTTTCCACATACATCGACAGACAGTACCCCATAATGACAAAGCAAAACTATTTTT